ACGGAAAATCAATTAAATAAACGGAGACGTAACACGAATATAACTCTGCGATACACTTAATCTCAATACTAAACAACACTGTAACGAACGAACGTTAACTTCAACAATACCCTGTGACTGCAGTTCAATTACTCACTATCTACACACACATTACATTCCCCTCTTTTATATACCAGCCTACCCTATATCTAGTAATTACTAGAGCATTCGCCAAAGTACATGGTAGTTCTAGAAACGTTGCGTCACAGTAGTCACGTGACTCGCTGACGCAACAGGTCTCATCGGCGACGTACAGTATAAAGTAATTGTATTGTTACGTCTCCGTTCGTTAGTTAATTTTCCGTAAATTCGTTCCGACGAAACTTTAGCGACACAAGTCCTTTCTTAGATAAAACTGGATTATTCTTTCTGAATATAACTTTGCGATACACTTAATTTCAACAGTCGCGCTATAACAAACGCTATAATTCTCAACGAACGTCTCATGTGCTCGACTCAACAATACTCCATTCAATTAGACACACATTGTTGCCGTCACTTTGTGCCCGTCTTATATATACAAGACTACCCCCAATCTAGTAGTCTCCCGACAATTCACGAAGTTTTGAGAAGGACGTGGCGTGATACTAGTCACGTGACCTCGCTGACGCACCAGTATAAAATACACCCTCTTTGCTGGAAACTTATACTGAGCTTGTAACGAATACCGTTATCAATTTTATTGTGATGCAATATCAAAGCTATATTACTAGTATTATTAATTATCACAGTACGTCATCTATTGCGATAACATCCTACGATAAAGTTCAATGAATCTTATTCCTTATTATAACTGTAATATACTACAGTTATTACGGTTTGAATAATATCTTCTTGTAATACTGTCATAAGATGTCAAAACAACAGCAACCACACGAAGACTAGAAAAGGTGGATATATCCACATATGTGCTCGAAATTACACAGGCCTGAACTAATACGTTTTTAGTTATTTCTACTCACTAGGTGTGAGTGCCAATTTGTTTACGAGTCACCCTTTTGTCTTCCTTATTTTCTGTTATGCTGATTTTAGTGAGATTTGTAGCACTGAATTAACACACACACAAAATCAACTCATAATGGAGGCGAATTAGTAAGTAATATGTATATATATATATATATGTAAATAAAAAACAATTGATATATACCTGTGTACAGAAATAGAAGCAGTTGCAAAGGGATATGTATACATACATTGTGATTTGTAACACTTTATAAAAGAAGAATAAAAATAACTGTTGAAAAATAAATATAACAATGAGGGTTGTTATTTCTGTTATGCTGGGCCATCAGTGCATTAGCGGTAAGTTTACAGACTTACAATACTAAAATCCGGGGCTCGATTCCTCGCGATGTACAGAGCGTAGATAACTCATTGTCTAGCTTTGCGCTAAAAAAGAAACACACGTTGTACTGGACCTAAAGCTTCTACCCATCCATTTGCATGCAGTTTCATTAGTTCTGAGTCCTGAAAAAAACCTACACAGAAGGCAAATTGTTTATCATCAGCGTGACGTAAGCAATATCAACTGACAAGAAAGACAAATGAGCCTATAGTTCATTCGTGGTTATTCGAGTTGGCTATTATCATTTAAGAAGAGAGTCATGTATAGTGGTATGATATATTATCAAACTGAAAGTGAAGGTTGGATTACACATTTTAGTATTTATTTCTTAATGACTTACTTTAATTTTCTTTTTGGTCATGTTATTTATACAACCATGTGGAAAGAATTTCAAGTGTTCACTGTCTGTTTTGCATAATAAATTTACGACGTCACCATTCCCAGCAATCTGTTGCCTAGCGCTGTTCCTACCCTCAATTACAGCCAATAAGAAAACTGTTAAATATGACGTCAAAGTACTTGTATATTTTCTAGGAAGAAGTTAAGCCTAGCTCTAGCGACAGTAGAGTGTTAATGCTGAGAGATCCGAGGAAGCTCAACCAGCAGTGGTACGGCATACGTAGAAAACCGTGAAAGGAAATTCCGATTAATACTTTGTGACATATTTTCTAGCGTTTTTTGTGATACTAATTTATTTTGTTGATTGTTCGGATTTATTTATCTACAAACAGTCTTTAAGTTATATATTCAAGAGACTGTGGGTTTAATTAAGTAAGATAAGCATGGCATTAATGCCTGGAGTGAACAAGGAGAAACGCAGGTGAGCTAAACTTCAATAATTGTGTCATCGTTAAGCCTAATTACTTCAGAATTAAGTCATTTTGGTTCCCCAAGTTTTACAGTTGCATATTCTATTTCAAATATTTGATATATTTGTTGTTTAAATATATATTAACTTATTAGAAGATGAAATTATAATGACAAAAGGAAGTTATAAAAAATTGTATTCTGCAATTGGTGCTAAACATTACATATGGTAATATAATATTCTGGAGAAATGTTTGTTAAGTTGAAAACCATTTTTTTATGGTGAATAAGAGCAAGAGAGTGTATATAGGTGTATTCCACTGGAATTTGAAGTTTTATCAATAGACTAGAAAAAGCAAGCAAAATAGAATTATATTTATATGTGATATGTAACTTTTAAAGTGATCAACTCCAAATCATGCAAATGACTATGTCGAGGAGTTGTATTTGTAAGCTGTAACTTGTAAGAGGTACATAAGTTCATCGTATTTGTATTAATGTTGTGAAAAATGTTATGTAACCTGAATCATAATATAAATACAAAATTTAAAAGTCTCATACCTTTTATAGAAATTACTTATGTTTAAAAATACTAAAAAATATGTTTTAAGTGAGATTTGTAGCAGTGAATTGTCACAAAAAATATACTCATAATGGAGGTGATTTAGTGAGTATAATATATATATATATATTTTAAATAAAAATGAACAATTGAAATATACGTGTGTATAGAAATAGAAGCAGTTGCAAAGTGATACATATGTATCCATACATTGTGATTTGTAACATTTTATAAAAGAATAAACAAAATAAGTGTTAAAAAATAAATATAATAATTACATGGATTTCACTTGATAGTGTTATCAGCAGAAATATTTCATTTCAAAGGGATAATAAAGTGCCATTTGGCCCGTCTAGACTATCCCATTGTTTATTACCACCCAACTTCAAAGTACCCCTATTTTTATATCGTACTATAATGTCTAATATACTCATTCAGTCTCTTCTTAAACTCCTTCAGTGTTACAGCTTCTATCATATGTTTAAGAAGTTTAGATTAATGAATGTATGGAAAAGCTAGGGATTTGTTAAAAAAATAAAAAGGATTTAAGAGAAACAGCTCACTAGAAATGTAAAACTAATGGCAAGGATTTTTAATATCTCAATGGGGAACAGGGCCTCAACCTTTGCTGCTGACAAGGTTTTTTAAAGACTATAAAATGGCTGAGCTTTTAAGCCTTCTCGTATGTTTTTACACAAGAAGATGCTAGAAATATTCATGACCAAGCATTTTGTAGAAAATATTGGAATTGACCTAAGTCATGTTAACCCTTTGGTGATAAGTTAGAAAAATTGAGAGATTAAGAATATAAAAGCAGGACCAGACAATATTTTCTCCAGGTTTTTAAAAGGTCAACAGTAAGATAAGTTCAGTAAGTTAGTAGACAGTTTTTTTACAGGTGCGTGATGATTGGGCTGTTACTAATGTTATCACATTTTTAAACAGGATGATAAGAGCTGCTTTGGAAAATGTAGGTCAGTTCACTTGGTTTTATTTCCATATTGGGAAAAAGACTAATCTGAGAAAAGAAGCTTTGCAAAATTACTTAGTGAAATACATTATTATAAAACTTTTAAAAGTAAGCCAACCTGGATTCACTGAAGGGAAATATTGACTTAATAATCTGTAAACTTTTTTTTGAAGATTTTATTTATCTGGATGATGGAAAAGATGTGGCTTTGATATATTTAGAATTCAAAGTGCCACTTTGATAAGGTGTTACATAGAGAGGGGGTTTGGTTAAATGGATTTAAGGGTGTCTGAATGAGAGAAAATAAATGGTTAATAATGAAGTCCAGTCAAACTGAACTTCTGTTGCTTGTTAGTGTTGTGCCTCAGAGGTTGGTGCTTGAGTCTTTGTTTTTCCCTTAATTACATGAATGATATTGATAAGGAAATAATTAGTAAAGTTCTCTAATGACATTAAACTCTCAGGTATTTCTAGCTGTATTGAGGATGTTAATGTACTGTATAATACTTTTGACTCATTTATATTTGATGATTTAATGTTTCTTGAGAAAAGAAGGTAACAGATAGTTTTATTTAGGTTTTCAATATTATTAGGGGATATATAGGATAAAGGCCTCTGATTTCTTTGTGCTGAAGAAAGATGCAAACTAAAGATTTGGAAAAGACAGGCAAGGCTTCTGCTAAAACAGTTTTATTTTACCAACAAGGTGATTTAAGTTATGGAATGAGTTACTATCCACACTACTAGAGTTTAAGAGAGGAATAAGTATAATTAGATCCGAGGGATTAATCAATATAATCATCTATTAGCATCAGTTGCATCCATTAGTGACATAAAATAATTGATTAATCAAAACTGTTGTTTCCTGTTATCGCCGTTTTCTATTATTTCAGTTATCCAAGTAATCAAAATATTGCTATCATGATTTCTCAATATTATTTGTGATTAATTCAGAGTTGTTCAACTTAATGGAATTGTATCACGGCTCATGAAAATATGCAACTAACTTATATTGATGTTCCAATTATTACTAATTTCATTTAATGAGCTTGACAATTAATTGATTATTGAATACCACTGATTGCACAACTTTAATAACAATTTCCTGAAAAATAAAGGGTGGTTTGAAATAATTACATTTTCTCAGGAGTGGACATGTAAGGACAGCCTTGAATGACCAAATTGTCCTTTGTTGTCTATAGTGTTATGTTAATTCAGCTATTATTTCTATAAATAAACAATAGTAGTAATATTATGATCACCAATTCTGAGTTGCTCATGCAAAGCAAAATTTCTAACAACATCTTTGCCACTACTAGGAAGAAGGCCTATGACAAAATTTTCCAACTTTTAACAGTCTGAGGAAGCAAACAATCAAATACATTATCTGAAAACTCTATCCCCATTTAGAAAGTAAAATTTATTTCCTTAAAATTGAAAAACAAGTATCTTGAATTCAACAGTCTGATTACACTGGGCAACAAAAACTTTGTTACTGGAGAAAAACTCAAGTGATTTGTGGTGGATCAAGTGTTAGTTGGGTTTAAATGTGTGTAAGTGGAGATAAATTTTGGAAGCTCGTCTTTCCTACCAATTCCCGTTTCGAGGTGAAGAGGTAGGTGATCCCTTGCCTTCCTTGGAACTGATGTGCAATTCCAGATACTGCCAGGTGTTGGATGAGGTCAAACTACCACTACAGTATGTTGTGCCCTAGCTACTCAACACCTAGGGTCCCATTAATTGGTAATATGTATTATGGGATTCCTTCTTGTTTTTCTGTTTCTTCTTTTTTCTTTTATGTTTGTGACCTGGATCAGATGTGGTGTGGTCTCCTGCTGAGGTGTAATTTTTTATTATTTGTTTCCACACATCATGGTCTCTCTTTGGGCTCTTCCTAAAGGGATATAATTTTTTCACCAGCCCTCCATCAGTTCAATGTGGGATTTTAGCTATTTTGTGAGAAGAGGTAAGATATCATATCTGAAGTTAACATTTTCCTAAACCGAAAATGTATTTCTGATACATACTTATCTCCTCTCACATTTCCTACCCAGCCTCTCCACTTCTAGTGATATATGGTGTAGATCTTCTGGCCAATCTTGAAGTGATTAACGAGTGCAACTGTTGAGATGGCAATGGTTACGGTAGGGGTTGTGTCATGCTCCTATTGGTGGAGAGCTGCTGCATAACTATTTACATGTGGATATGCAGAAGCAGGAGGTAGAAGGCTAGTGGCGAGCATTGAAAATTTATGCTGATAGGAGGCAGTACCAATCGAGAAAAGTTATTTTGTGAACTTTGTTATTCTTAATTTATGTAACAAAAGTTACGAAATTGGTTAACATCTGCTGATGACATAAAAATCTAAGTTCTAGCATGTTTTAATGAAGATGCTATGATTTTATAGAGAGAATTACATCAGTTGGTTAGTTGGACAAGCACATGGCAAATTCCATTTGATCATAAGTGCAATAATATGTGTGTGGTTATCCTAACTTGCACATAATTTATTTGGGAATCCTCTTTATGACGAGGATGAGAAAAAGGAACTATGGTATTGTTTGATGTAACCCTTAAGCCTTTGAGATAGTGTCCTTTTGCAACTGGTAAACTTTATATATATATATATATATATAGGAATATTGACTACATGTATAAAGAGTGCATGGTTTTGTTTTTCAAAGTTGCTAGTTAGGTCTCATTTATATAATTATGATCATTTCCCCACCCCCATCATAGGATGGACATGAAGTTTTTGGTGCACATGAGGGACACAAGATTTATTCTGGGGATAGGCAAGTTATCATAAGAGGATGACTTGATATTTCCTAATATGTACTTTTTTGAAAAGGAGAGGTTCAGGGATCATTTAATTGAAGTATTCAAAGTCATGAAGGGAATTGATAAAATTTCAGAATCTGATTTTTTTCTCATGAGTTCTGAGAACAGTAGGATAAGAAGTCATAATTTAGAATGATCAGGTACATAATAACATGTTAGATGAACTTATCTGTTTGTTTAATCTGAAAGAGTATTTTAGGCTAACATTTCAGCTAGATTTTAATACTTGTTTTCTTAATTTTGGGTGAGGTTATATTTTTCGAAAACATGGTTATTTTTACAGGTGTACTTAAAATTGGTATCAGTGTTGAAAATGTGAATATTTAAATTTGCTTTAAAGACTGTTTTGGTGTTAAATGAGGAAAAACTCAGAATGTGCATTTTTTTCTTCATTCAAATGTTTCACTCAAGTAAAACATGAATTTTAACTATAATTGGAAGACTAGAATGTCCAAAATGACTTATTAGTTATCTGTTTGCAAATTTCTTCCACATTCATTCTACTGAATAGAACAATTTAAAAATAGGTAAGAATATGCTGGTTGCTTAGTTGTCTGATTAATGAACTTTTATCATTTGCTCATTTAATGTTATTTATGTTAATACAGTAAGTCTTGCTTCTAGTGTAATACTTTTGCAA